ACTGCCGAGGTCAAGTTCTTTCTGAAGGAAGCTGCTCACTTGAACGGAAATCAGTGCTGCAGTGAGCTCGAGGCGAGGGACTGTAACAGGTTTGGAAGGAGTCACCCTGGCCTTACTCATCACAAGTCTACAGCTGACTCTGTTCTGGTCGTCTATGAGGCGGAGGTAACTGCACTGACCGTATCCGTGCGTGCTGGCATCGGAGAAGTGGTGCAGTTCCACTTGTTGCAGGGCTCCGAAGTCCATCGGTGTGTAACATCTTCGAATTTTCAGGGTTGACAGGGTCTCCAGCTCTGACATCCATTCATTCCAGCGCATCAGCAGAGTCTCTGGGACTGGGTCGTCCCAGCCGAGACCATCACGGCACAACTCCTTTAGAATTTGCTTGCCTCTCAGAATAAATGGAGAGATGAAGCCGAGGGGGTCAAATATGGAGCTAACCACAGACAGCATCCCCCTTCTAGTTGGTGGTTTATCGTTGGGCTTCACACTGAACTGAAGTACGTCGTTTTCTGTGTCCCACTCTATGCCAAGAGCTCGCTGGATGGGCAGCCTACCCGCTCCGGCTTCCAGACTCTGCGTAGTAGAGCAGCGGCTCTCTGGCGGCACAGATTTCAGGACTTCAACGCTGTTAGACGACAGCTTGTGTAGTTCAAATCCACCCTGCTTACACAACTGGCGAGTCGCGTCGATGAGGCGCACAGCTGTGTCTTCGTCATCTACGGACGTGAGACCGTCGTCGATGTAAAAGTTTCTTCTTACGAAGTCGGCAGCTTCTTTTCCACTTTCATCTGCGTAGCTGTCGGCTGCTGTTCTGAGGGCGAACATAGCACATGCTGGTGAAGATCTTGCGCCGAACAAATGTGTCGTCATTCGGTACTCCTCGGGCTCCTGATGCACGTCACCGTTTTCCCACCAGAGGAACCTCAGGAAGTTACGATCGGTTCTGTTGACCCCCACCTGATTGAACATGCCCCTGATATCACATGTAAGAGCGATCGGTTTCATCCGAAAACGACAGAGGATTCCGGCGAGGCTGTTCGTCATGTCGGGTCCTTGCAATAGATGACTGTTCAGCACCTCTCCACCAAATTCGGTGCTACAGTCAAAAACGACACGGATTTTGTCCGGCTTCTTCGGGTGGTATATGCCGTGGTGGGGCAAATACCATACCCTGCCGTTGCTGAGCTGCTGTTCATCTGTTGGGACCTTCTCAGCGTGACCATTGGCGATCGTGGCTTCCATGAACGTTGTGTAGTCACGCCGGAATGCATCATTTCGTACTAGCTTCGAGCGGAGTCCTTTGAGGCGCTGTACTGCTGCAGCTCTGTTGTTCGGCAGTCTGACGTCTCCCTTCAGCGGAAGCGGCATCTCGTAGTGCCCGTCTTCTTTCTGATGGATCTCTTCGGACATCATCTTCAGGAACATCCTGTCTTCAACTGACTGTGGTTTCTCCTCTCTTGTCTCCACAAAGTCCTGTTCAAACATCTCATGAAGCTGCTGAGGAGTCATCTCATGAGCTGTAGTCCTGAATGCGAAGTGACACAGCCTGCGGGTTCCTTTTCCTGCGTCGATGTACTGGCATCCAGAATTGATGTTCTCGCTGTCACAGACAGGGCCTACGATGCCCCATCCCAGTACGGTCCTTACAGCCCACGGGTCGTTGTCGTCACCTGTGATGACGTCTCTGGGCTTCACGGCTTTTGGGCAGTTCATCCCGACGAGAAGGCCGATTCCAGCTGCAGGGTAGTACAGCGGTATCTCATCTGCGATCGGCGCCAGGTGAGACCACTTCCTGGCAGACTCTCTTCTGGGGATGCACGAACGCTCTGCTGGAATCACCTCACGCGAATAGCACTGAGGAAGGACGATGCTGTCACCTCCCTGCACAGGCTCAATCACCAGGTCATCAACGACTGAGCTGGACACAACTGACTGGCCCGTGACTGTCTTCAGCTCCAGGGAGACTGGCTGACCCTGGATCTGGAGAGCCTCGCAAGTGCCGCCTGTCACAAAGCACGCGTCAGACTGTGGGTCAAGGACAGCATAGGTTAGAACCTTGACATCAGGGTGCTCCCTGTGACGAACGAACACAGGCAGGATCATTGAGTGGACGCAGCCTGGTCTCTTATCTCCAACTCCGGACATCACACGCAGGGATGTAGCTTGGAGCTGGTCCGTTGCTCCTTCAGGCCGACTGCTCCTCCTCTGAGTCTCAGCATCTCCGCGCTGAATGAGGTCCCTCCGAGTTTCGCTGATTGCCCTGCTCTGTGCTGCAACAGGAAACTTGTCGTCATGAAGGGCAGTGGGGTGACCTTTTCCACAGGTTTCACACTTCATCTTCCTTTGGCAGGACCGCCAGACATGTCCACGCCTCAAGCATCCTCTGCAGAGTCCATACTTCATCACTGCAGCCTGCTTCTCTTCAAGGGTCATCTTGGTAAACTGTTCACACTCTGCCACTGGGTGAGCGGCGGCAACTGAAACACCTGAGCGGTCAGAGCACACCACACACCCTAGTCTGACAACACTGTGGCTGTCCCTCTTTGAGGCTGGTGCAGCAGTCGTCTGGAGCGCTCTTACAACTCTCCTGTCTCTGCGCACATCCTTCTCTTCTTTGTTGGCAGAGTCTTCGACGGGACCACAGGCCACTCTCGCTTCCTTCGCCAGGAACTTCACGAATTCCTTGAATAAAGGGTATTCCGCTGGCTCACCATCTTGTGGCTCATACAGTCGCTGATCCACATATCTTCTCCAACGATCAACCACATGTTTGGGCAGCTTCTTCAACATGTAGCTGTTTTCATGCTGGTCGTCCAACACCTTCAAGTGCCCAGACGTCCTTGACAAGGCATCACACTGCTGAAGAAAGTCTGCAAACTCTCTCAGAGCCTTGCCATCTCCACTCTTGATATTTGGCCAGTTTCGGATCCGTCGTTTGTATGCAGCTGCTCGTACAAATTCGTTTCCATATCTGTCATTGAGTCTGTTCTTTGCCTCTTGGTAAGCATCTTCTGTCCGCAGCTGGATGAATCCAAGAATTGCCGCCTTCGCTTCACCTTCAGTGTATTTACCCAGGTAATGCAGTCTTTCGATTGGAGAGCTGGTCTTGGCTTCTATGTATGTTTCGAATGACTTGAGCCACAACTCAAACTTTGCCACATCACCATAGAACACGTCCGGTTCCAGAGCAGGAAGGTGGCTCTGCTTTACTTCACGCTGCAACAGATTTACAAGGCCCTGGATAACATCCATGCTCTGCTCCTGTTCACTTGTCTGTGGAGCATGGACATTTGACGCTGGCCTTTGCTGCTGACTTGTTTGTGGGACTCGGGTTCTTGGGGCAGCATCTTGGAGTGGCAGGTCCAGCATCAACTGGGACATGCGTCTTGCTGTCGTTGCTTGGAATGCATCTTGGTTTCTGGTGGTGTCATTCATATCTCTTTCAAGATCATCAATGGCTCTTTCCCTTGCTTGGCTGACAGCAAACTCTGTCATCAACTTCATGTCTTCCTCCTCACACTGCAGTTCCAGTTTCCTCTTGTTCATTTCTTGGCTTTTCTTGATAACAGCTGCTCTTGCTGCTAGTTCTGCTTGCTTTTGTCTCTCCTTCAGCTTGGCGGAGCTCAACGTCGAGCTTCCCCCATCTGAATGTTGACTGACTCTAGACAGAGCAGTTCTTGACGTCACAAAGAGGTTTGAGGCACTATCTTGAGGTTCAACACCATCAGCAGGCATTTCTTCGGGCTTGATGTCCGCAAGATACTTCAACACCTTTGCCTTCATGGCATCATTGTCATCAAGCTGACTCAAATGCCTACTCACATGGTAATCAATCTCATCATCTGGAAGCAGGGACCTTAACTCGTGATCAGATGACGTCAGCTCCTGACACAGCTTCAGCCAGTTCTCGAGCTCAGCTTTGACACATCCTATGCCTTCATTTGCAGACATAACTTCAATCAACCTCTGACCACTGGACCTTACTGCACTCAATGCTCTCTTGTACACCTTTTGTTTTACACCGAGTTGATACTGAGCTCCCTTCTCTGTTGTCTTAGGTCTTCTCACGCCATCTGTCACATCATCTGCATTTTGATGCTCAGCCATCGTGGAGTGAGAGGATGACCAGGGAATTCAGGTAATGAAATTCAGCCACAGGAAAAGAATCAATGTCTACACAAGGTGACAGAGGAGACAATATCATACATCTACAACTACAGGTGACAATTCGGGGTTGCGTAGAATTGGTCAGGTAAAATCAGTTCATGTAGGTTGTGTTAGTACAGGTCAAGTCCGCAATTCAGGAGGTCATAGTAACCCGATCAATACAGATCATATGAAATTTGCTATTCGTGGCTAGACTACGATAATTTACTGTTACAGCCATCTAATAATGCGGTTCTGTGACATAGCTGTATTATGCCGTAAATTCTGAAACGAACAGAAAATCGTATGAAACAGTCGTTAAATCGTTTAGAATGAAGTCAGCCATTAACTCATTGCACAGTACATAGCAAAAATTAATCATTTCAACCAACTTACATCGTTTGCGCCTTTCTGCCTTTCAATTCATCCAAACAATGCGGAACGTTCGTGACGCCGCCACGCGGCCGAACTCTTTGCCTCCACCGCGCCGCTAATGCCTTTCGCCGACGGAGGACGAGGCAACCAAAATATACGGCCCGCGACACTCGCGGTTACACCGCCTGTTTTCAGAGTCGCCGGGCTGCCGCTTTCAACAGCGTGGGCGGTTCAAATCAGGCTCCGGCGTCGGGCTCAGCGCGGTCCACTGATCAGTCGAGTGGTGAACATCCGCCGCGGGCCACCCAGGCCGGCTGCTCATATCCTGTGCCGGCGCCGCGCACCCACTCGACACCGGCCGAGGGCGCGGCGGCTGCCAGCGCGCCTGTCGACGGCTGCCGGCTGATCCTGCAGCCTGTTTACCGTGCCGCTCGGGTGCCGGCGCGGCGGGGGGCGCAGCTGAGCGTCGTCATTTCCTCCGCGGGGCGTCTAATTGGCAAGCTGCGCCGTCGAGCGCCGACGAGCGCCGTCGAGCGGCCGGTCGGCGCCGGCGGCCTCGGCCGCCGACGGCACACTATCGATCGCACTTGTTGATTCGTTTCGGCCGCAATAGATGGCGGTGTCGGCGGCAGCGGAGCGCCGGTGGCTGCGGGCTGCGGCGGCGCAGTGCCGGACGGCGGCGTCCGCCCGGGAGCCGCCCGCTGACGGGCCGCCGGTCGCGCCGCGGGCGTCAACATGCGCCATGTCGGCTAGCCGTCGCTGGGCTGAGGAGTACGTGACCGTGCTGCTGCCGGAGGTGCGGAGCGCGCGCAGTGCGGTGCAGGCGCTGGCGCTCAGTCTGAGCCGGTCCGGCCGGCTGGCGTTCTACGGCGCCCTGCTGACGCTGCTGGCGGCGTCTTTCAGCGCGCCGCTGCTGCGGGCCCTCGGCTGCGCCGGCTGCGTCGTCCTGTCGACGGCGGCGGCCACTTTGACGCTCGAGTCGCTCGGTGGCCGGCACCTGTACCTGGTGCTGTGCGCATGCGCGCTGGGCGAGCTGCTGCAGCTGGTGTGGCCAGGTGTGCGTCTGCCAGTGCTGGCCGGCGCGCTGCTGGTGCTGGGACCGCGCGGACGGGACGCCCGCCTGCTGGCCACCGCCGCGCTCTGGCTGCTGGTCTCGGCCGGCCGACAGCAGCTGGTGGCACCCTTGCTTTATCTGTTGGCCGCCGGCGGCGGCGCGCTCGCGCTCTGGCTGCGCGTGCAGCTCTCGGTGGTTCGCTGTGAGCCGGTGGGCGTGGACGGCCGGCCGCTGACGCTGCGTCGTCACCGCGCCAGCGGCAGTGTCTCCTGGAGCGGCGGCATGGGGCCCAAGATGAGGCGCACTTCGCTGCCGGCCATCTCTGTGCAGCGGAGCCAGCTGCCGATCGCCGTTCAGGTGAGTCCTCCGCGCGCCGCCGGCGAGCGACACGCACCGACACACACGTACACAACACCAAAAAACGCCGGCGCGCCATCCGCCGAGCTCACATGTGCAGACTGACAGGACGCCCCGCTGCAGCGGAGGTCACGCAACACGACCCGTCGAGCGCGGGTTAAAGGGCGCGACACAGCACGCACGAGCCGAGTGGCGTGTCGGAGCTGAGTGACAGTCGGCAGTGCCGAGCCCGACTGATGTGACACGCACGCACAAAGCCAGTCGACAGATGCCAGTCGTAAAGGTTCGACCGAGCTGCGGAACACGCGGCAGGACGGAAGCGAGCGGTTGCAGCGGAGCGCGTAAGCAATGTGTTTTGCTGTTTGGTTAGTGCCGCTTGTCAGTGTAAGCTGCGGGAGGCTTAATCACCAGTCCTAATACCGTAACACACATATACGTAAGCACATAAACACGGAAGCCAGCGCTGCATCCTGCAATGTTGTCACGTTGCAACATCAGTCTTCCAGAGATAATGCAAACACGACAAAGTTATCGCGTTACATAGGCATGTAAAATGAGAGCCGGCTACTGTTTTTGCCGCTGGGCCTATACCAACTGAAAATCGTATGGCGTCACTCTAAGCGGATAACTTCCTCCTGGTTGATCAAAACATCCCCAGTTCAGCCAAACTACCCCGAGCGCATGGTGAGACCCAGGAGACGGGAACACCCACCGAGGTCGGTGTCGTAATCGCTTCACCAATTAGTTCAGGAGCTACGGTAAGTGGACATTGAGTTGGGTTTTAGTCGGCGATACTGACATATGACCTCCAACCCGTCGAGCGGCTCATTGATGTTGGAACTTTCCAGTCTCGCGGAAACTCAACACTATATAGTTAAGTACCTATTTCCCACGGGAGATAATTAAAGTTTACGGTATTCGGTCCCTAGACTGATATTCAAGGATGCACCTACATCCTGCAATATGATAAGACATGATGAAATAATGTTAGCATAATGCTTACCAATGAATTAAAACTTCAAATAATATAATAGCAGCGTGCTTTAAATAAAACAATGGTCAATAAGACAAAATAATATAATAGACGACACCTGTGTCGTTTCACGGGGATAGCCATTCCAGCCACCATCCTCCGGCGGTATAATTCCGCCCTCACAGGCGGCGGCCGCCGTGTTGCCGTCCGCCTTGTTTACCATTACCAAAGTTCACGTCCCGGAAGGAGGCAGGCTCAGAGAGTAATCGCCGAAATTCGCCGCCGTCCGGAGCCATCGCCGTCGTCTCGCTGCTGAGAAAGTAGCTATGAATTAGTTAACTCAATTCCGTGAAATAGCCGATTGCCAGGTGCCATAAGACGGGCAGGTGCCCATGAAACATGCCGTTACTGGCAATATTGATGTCAAGTTTACAGGTAATGGAATGAGAGCCCATCGGAGGCGATGCTATACATTTTGGAACATCTCTAGACGCATTTAGTTTAAGACGTGGCCAAGCTCGGAGGGCTGTAGGTTCATGGCTGATGGCTCCCCGGGAAGAGTAGCCTTTGCAAGCACATAAGTTTGCTATTCATTTTCACAATTGGTTATTTTTTAACCCGCGACCGCCTGGGGGGGGTCGGATCCGACCCCCCCTCCGTTTTTCTTGAATAACTTATGAACCGCTTACGCTATCGACTTGAAACTTGGCATACCTTCTCCCCCATCAATTTGACGTCTCCTGTGCAATTTTTAAGAAAAAATTTCCAAACATTTTTGAGATATATCGATTTTAGTGATGTAACTACATGGCGTTTTCAGTCAAAAAGTGGTAAATGTTTAAAAAAATCGCCAAAAATCAGGGTTTAAAGCAAATTGCAAATTAAGGACATGAATAGATGCAGCTCAACGAGTTCTTTAAAATGGCTATCTCGGATTTTCCATAAAATGCGTTTTTCACCCCTAAAAATTAAAAAACTATATTTTTTTGGAAAACAGCTCATAAAATCCAAAATTTTGAGAATTTCTAAAAAACCGGAATATATGTTATAGAGCTCTATTAGAACATTAGATGTCCCAAATTTCAACTTTCTATCTTGACTTTTGACCCCCAAATTGTAAAAAAATAGCTCCAACATGCATAGGGCATGGTGACGTCATAAGCATTTTCGTGAATTAGAGGCACTTCTGAACATCGCATGTGAAAACAAATGGCACCACTAGATTCCTGGGACAAAGCTCGTCTAGAAAAGTGCATTTTATGTCAAAAATAAAAAGTTGAAAAATTGACCTTTTTTCTTAGCCCTCTCTGAGTTATGTATGGTATAAACGATTTTTTGTGCTTTCAATGCACACTTATCACCAAGCACAGTGACTTGGGGTTACATATAACCATTATCATCGAATTCGGCGTGAAAAATAAGCCATAAAACATGTGTCGCACGCCCATGTAGCAGAAAGTGAAAACCGTGACCTTTCGTGACCTGACCTGACCTTGACCCATACTTAGTATGACCCCTATACGCACATGGTACCTTTACTAGGTCTTTGAGGTCATTTTTGGCGAGTTTCGAGCAGCAGCTGTCGATTCCGCTGTCCGTAAGCCTAATCATGCAAAACCCCAGAATTTGACCTTTGACCTGACCTTGACCCGAAAGTTGACCTCAATCTTAAAATCTTAAGAGTGCTTTGGGAAGGTCTCGTAGAGACCTTTCGAACGCCGCCTCGCGGGGCTCGATACGACCATTGGTTCTCGAGATAACAGGGGGGGGGGGGTCGGATCCGACCCCCCCCCCCCAGGCTGTCGTGGGTACGGAAATAGCCCAGGCGGTGCCGGGTTAAGTTGTCTTACTGCGTATCCAAGTTTCGCCAGATTCAAATGTTTAAATTGTTTCGTGTAAGTGAAGCTATTCTGTGACCAGTCATTTGGTCATTTATGGTCTTTCTTAGAAGAACGAGCTTAAAAATGCAATTTAAGTGACCATCCCACCTTAACATTAGTTTTGAGTTGAGATAGCCAAAATGGGGGCCCTGGCTTGCACTTACCGGCTTGAGCACTCACAAGATCGAGAAATGCCTCAAATCGAAAATATCTAATTTCAAAGTTGCAGCACTTGGATTCAGAGGGGCTAATGCATTAAAATGCCCCCTCTGAATGTGTAAAGTCAGCACAAAAAAGTAAAAGTCTAATATCTTGAAAACCGGTGAATATTTTTCGATGAAATTTGGTAGATATTCGTTTTCGCTCTTTCTGAACCGAGCGACATCACTTTCATGCCAATTCATTAACTGCTTTTAAGGTGGGAGGTGAGCTTGCTCACTTGCTTGCACGAGCTTGCTCACAATAAAAGTTTAACAGTCAATATTGTAAAGGAAGGCATTGTGAAAACAGGTTTATCTTTACTTTGTCGAAAATTAATCCGTTTTTTAACCTTCGTGCCTATTAGTAAATAAAGAAGAAAAACTGGTTGAAAAATAATTGTTATGCCCGTGTATTTGAGGCCACTACCAATGTGTGTTTAAGCAAGGCCATCCAAATGACCACACCCACAGCCATTTGGTCATAGCTCACAGAAAATAAACTTGCAATTTTTTGTTGGATGAAGCTGAAAATCCTATATTTTAGGGCTGTATCAATAAAAGTAAAAGAAAATATCGCTAATTGGTCAGGTTTCGCATGTTGATATCGCTAGAGCTTGCTCACAGCCATTTAATTATTCCCTCTTCTATTGATCTCGTCCAGTTTGAACGACATTGAATAAAATGTGAATGAGGCTCTGATGACCATTGACCACTGCACTTGACGAAGATCAGAAAACTGAGCGTCTGCCGGGTAAATCCCCTACGGTAGAAGTTCTTCTAACACTTTCCATAAGTTGGAGCCCAGCTGGACACTCCATACAAGTTGCAGTCAAATGGCCCTCATGCTGTCGGCGGTGGGCCATCGCTGCCCGGTCGCCGGGTACGCGCCGCCTCCGGCTCAGCCCGGGGCGACTCTCACCGGTCGCCGCCACGGTCGATGCTGTCTGAGGCCGCGGGGAGCTGCGGGCGGGCTCGGGCCAGACACCCTACTGAGAGCGGCTCCTTGGTCACGGATACACCCAGCCAGGGGAACAGAGAACTGTATCGGAGGAGAGGAGCACGATGCCCGACAGGCCGCGCTGATACGAGGGTAGAAAAACGGCGAGGCTTTGAAAGTCAGTGCACAGGCCAGTTTTACCAACAGACAAATAGCCACCTGCCGGATTTTTTTGCCTAAAGACCGCTTTACATACGGAGCGTAAACGCGATGGCCATGTAAGCAGATAGGGTTTTACCGTATTTTTGCCTAAAGACCGCTTTACATAAGGAGCGTAAACGCGATGGGCATGTAAGCAGATAGGGCTTTACCGTTTACGCTCTGTATGTGAAGCGGTCTTTAGGCAAAAAATTCCGACAGGCGGTTTTTTCTGTTAGTAAAACTGGCCTCAGATCGGTTACATTATCATATGATTGATGGACAGATGTTCGATAATGACTGTGGAGTATCGTTGCTTAACCCTCGCGGGCCCGGGGGGGGGGCGTTTTTCGCCCCCCCCTGGCGAATATTTGCGATAACTCCCGAACGCTTAGGGATAGGAAGGCGAAACTTTCAGTACCTTTTCTCCCATCAATTTGACATCTTCTGAAGTAAAAAATTTGGACCTAACCCCCTTGATGACGTCACAAGGTCCAATTTTCTAGACCCCTGCACGGCAAAAATCGGCGTCACAGACGCAAACTTCAAATAGCTGCTAAAAATAGAGTTTTAGAGATAAAGACAAATTACGAGCACGGCTGTATAGCGTTTGACCTAGAGAAAAATAGAAAAATAGTTTTGGTGACCTGAGGTCAGAGGTCAGGTCAACGACCCCGAAATGTGGTTTTAGTTTTTCGCAAATAACTTCGACAAAAATGGTCCTAGAGCTACGGCAGTGGTACCATCGCATTCGCCTTGTCAAGCCGCGTCGAATGATATATATTTTGTTCGGAAAAGGTCAGGTTTCATGT